TAGGACAGAGAGAAAGAAGCTTCTTGAGAAAGACTTCAAGATAAAGATCAGCTGGAGAGCCAGCATTGTGGAGGTCTGTGCGGGAGTCCTTTCCACGGAGGAGTGCGCTGCAGACACGAGCCACCTGAGTCTGCAGGATGTGCTGGTCTGTGGCCTGCTCTGCAGACCTGGCATCAGGGGGAGCTAAATCCTAGCATGTTTTCTTGCATGTGAGCCTGTGAACTAATGTCTCCCGGTCTGGTCCTTTGAAGGTGATCGGGTGATTTTCTGCAGTGAGGCAAAGTGAAAATCCCCTACTACTTCCTCGAGCGCTGTGGAGGAGCCCAAGGGCTGGCATGCTCCCAACTCCTGCTGCGTGTGGCTGGCCCTCGCCAGGCCCCTCTGCTTGAGGAGCAGTCCCTCCCCTGCCAGAAGCATCAAATTGAAGGAACAGAATAGCTTTGTTACTACTCCGTTGCAGTGACAGCCAGTGAGGAGGGGGTTGCCTTCACCTGTTGTGCACAAGAAGCCCAGACTCCTGTGTGAGAACCCAGGCCAGGGCAGAGGGGAAGGCAGGTGGGAGAACGGAGGGCCTCCTGGAGGGAAGCGTGGCCTTGAGGAGCGGGTGGGAGGGCAGCGAAGCTCCCCTAGAGACGTGCCTCCTTCTGTGTCTGCTCTGGGTCAGCATCTTGATTCTGCTTTGTTCCACCAGGGCCTTGGCAGGCGCAGGCACCCCCACGGGGTTCTCAGAGTCTCCTGAGATTCAGCCAGCAGGGGGTCTTTCTGGGCAGCCTCTGTGGATGCACTCTTTGTAACCTCTTTGATGGTGCCAAGGGGTGTGCATACGACTGCCCTCAGCACAAGTTGGTGCCATCTTGTAAACAGCTGCAGAGACTCCATGTCATGCACACATGGAGAAGAACAATGACAACCATTCATTCGATTTCTCTGTATTTGGAAAAGCAAAGGTGTTTGGATAAAAATGGGCTTAATTTGAATCCAGTTCTAAAGGACTTATAATGGTCACTCCATTTGAGCCTCAGTGTTCTTTTCTATATAGAATTGTTACAGGATTGGGGATCCCTGTGATAGACAATATCTGGCCCAGAGTAGGTACAATAGAGAAGCTGCTTTCATCGTCATCAAGCCTGTTGTTAGTTCCCAGGCTTCATGCAGGGCTGAGGAAGTCTGAACAGATGCAACGTTCTACAGTTAGCAAGTAGGGTACATGGAGTTACTGTCCCTTAACTATCACTGCCGTAAAGCTTCTTAAAATAAATGTATGTATGATAGTTTCTAAAATAAATATTTGACCATAAATTCTGTTGAAAAAGAAGGTAGACAAAAATGCCTGCTCCTGAACATAGGAACATCACCTGGGTCAAAACACTGTCAAAGTTCTTGTCATCTGGTAAAGCCCAATGAATCATCTAAGATCTTACCACCATAGAGCAGGACCTGTGAAGGTAGTTTGGCCATACACTTTTGTGTCTTAAACTCCAGCTTTCCAAGACTTTCATTAATTTTGTGTTAGCTATCATAGGAAGGAGACATGAGTATCAATGAAGTAGTTTCTCAGACTGTGTTTGAGTCAGTTGGATGTGTGAGTGTGAGTGTGTGAGTGTGTGTTGGGAGGGCAGGAGGAAGGCAGTTTGAAAAACTCACCCATTCAGATATTCTCTTAGATAACTTTTCTAAAAGTAACTACATAAAACTGTTTTAGATTTAGGACCCACTAGCTGGAAACTTTCAATTCAACACTGATATTAAGAAATTCAACATTATCTTCAGTTTCCAAAAATCTCCCTGTATCTGTTTTCTCATTCATTAATACCTGTGCCTATATATTCCTTCTTAAATATTTACAGAGTACGTTCAAGGTATACAGAAAGATGCTGAGGTTAGACAGGCATTGTGGGGGATACAATATGTGGAACAGGGTCCTTTTATTCTAGGAATTTAGAAGGGAGATGAGAGAAAATGCCCCTCCACCCTCTTTCCTTGCAATGGTTAATGTGGAAGAGATGGCTAGTTGTTCTCCAAATGCCCATTCTCATCTTGTCAGTGGGATATGTAGAGGGTGATGCCTTTCAAGGGAAGGATATGTCCTCTTCACCCCCTCCTGGTGGAGCCCAGACCTGCTGTGGTGAGCCATGGCCTCCAGTGGGCGCAACAGAGCAATAAGAGGCAAGGAGCCTGGTTCCTGCTCTGTGGGGCTGTCATATCAGCCCAGGGTGCACGCGCTCAATGATTCTTGCAATGGAAATAAACTTGTACCTTGTCTAAGTGACTGTTTGGGACTCTGCTTTGGCAGTAGAGACTGTCACTAATTACCACAGGAGCGGCAGGGCCTCAGTGAGCACCAACTGTCCTGAGGTGAGCGGGACCAGAGTCTCAAGCCTTACAAAGGAGCTGCATGCCTCTCCGTTTCTGCTGTTAGAATTTGCAGAGGTGGAGAAGAAAATAGAGGTCCCTCCACATGGCTCAGAGCATGGTGACTGTTTGGGGATGGCCAGGAGGTCAGGCCAGCCGGCCGGAATGGGAGCACAGAGGGAACTCCTGGGCATGTATGGACAGGGTTGGGAAAACCTGAAATTCTCAGGGCAGGATTTTAAAACTTACCCTAGAAGCAACAGGAAACCTTGGGGCTTTGGAAGGAAGCAGGAAAGAAACTCTGGCGCTGGCAACTTTTCTAGTAGAAGGAGACCAGCTAGAGACTGGTCCAGGGGCTTTCTGACTGTTCCACAGAAGCCTCGGGGTACTTTCTGGGACCCCAGGAAGGGCTGATTGGAGAAGGGGAGGGGCAAGAATCCTTGTATCCCCTCCTAATTCAATTAAGGAACCCCATTTTGTCTATTTAATGCACATTCGGGGTTTCTGTGCAAGATTTTGCTTGAAAAAAAGGAGTCTGTGGATTCAGCACTTTGGAGGCATTGGGCTGTGGGTGGTCCAGTATGCAGGAAACCCAACCTGGAGTCTGTATTCTGTGGGGAAGGCTTAGCATATAGATGAGCTTGTTTACCAGTTTAGGGGCTCAGAATCACTGCTGTGAGCACATCAGGTTCCCCTGCTAAGTAGCCGAGACATTTTAAACATCAATTTCCTCATCTATGTATCACATGGCAATCAGAGCAGTCCTTCCTCCACAGGCATGGTGAGGTGTGATTTAATACACACAGCATGAAAAACAGCGCCTAGCACCTATCAAATGCTCCGAAATGTTGGCTACTATTACTGTGATTGTTATTATTACTACTGTTATTTTATGAGGATGAGGCATTTAGCCAATGTGTACAAGTGGGGAAGGAAAGACAGACAGCTGGTTGATAGTGGCAGTTAGAAATTCGTAGCTTTCATTGAAAATTCTCAGTGTTCTGGGGAAGGAAGGCATGTTGGCTTCACTTAGGAGAGCCGTTGGCTGTCCTGAAGACTGAGGTGTGAGGGGCCCAGCTCTGAAGAGTCCAGTGCACACTCAGCATTCAACAAAATCCATCGGGAAGTTTCTATGACTTGATGTCAGGAGGAAAGTGACTTCATGGAGGTAGATTTCCTAAGCTGAATCAACTCTTTTTGTTTATTTTTTTCCCAGAGGACTTAGGGGGTTGCCTTTCTTTCCAATCTGCCTCATCTGCTTTTTTCCCAGGGTTCTCTCTCTTGCTTGGACTGAAGAGCAACAAGATAAGACATATCTCTCTCTCCTCCAAAGTAGATCCCATAATCATTTTGCCATTGTTACTGTTTCAAGATTTGTTATCTTGTAACTGTTGGGAATAGACGGGGATCAACAAAAATAATAAACAATGAAAGCATTACGGGTTTCTAAGAAATCTACAAAAATTCTGCTAGGAATTTCTGCCCTCCATTTATGTGCAATAAAGACTTCTTCCTTAATTTCCTTCTTCTAATTTCTTTTCTTGGAAATGGACCTGCCCAATCTGTGTAGGTGAGGCCTTAGATCAAACATGTAGACTTAAGCTCAAGAGCTATAGGAAAATGTATTCTAAACACGCCATTATGAACAAGAAGATGAAAAAAGGGAGAGAGCATCTTTTGGGGAGCAGGCTGTATGAAGATAACATGAGACAGAGAAAATGGGATCACCCAACGCTTCCTGTATGTCCCTTCCTCCCATCCATCCTTCCTTTCTCTCTCTTGCTTGCACTTGACTTCCCTCTGCCTTTCTTTCTGCCATTCTCACTAGTTGTCAGAGGTTTCTAGGGATAGACAGACAATCCCACCTGAGAGTCAGCCTACTTGCACCTTCTGGCTTCATCCTGGATGTCTCAGTGAGCTCGTACCTGCTGGAGACAATGTCTGCACATTGTGGGTATACTTTACTTGTGGCCCTCTTGCTTTGCCAGCACCCCAGGATGAAGCTCCCCTGGTCCAAGGTGCTGGCCCATCCCGTCAGCAGTGGTCTTGCCAACACAGTCCTCAGCCTTCTTGTGTTTCTCAGGGAGAGTTCATACCAGAAGATGCCCTGGAACCTTTATTCAGGGCCCTGCGGGTGTCAGTTGTGTGAGCAACCTCTCTGCCCATGCTGACCACTGGGGAAGGGGGAGGCTAGGAAGAGGCTGGACAATGTGCCAAGAGATGATCGCTGGGTAGCCATTTCATCAAAAACACTAAACCAGCATATTTAGCAATTGAAGTCTTAAGCATACTATGAAAATAAGGCTTCATTCCCAAGGGAAGAAAAGAGTTGCTTCTCTATGCACAATGATGTTAGGTGGCCCCCAAATTTGTATAACCTTGAAGTGGTGAGTCAGATTTCAATGTGGCTTAAAATTTAAAGCTATGGTAAGCAGTGTACTCAGGGCTTAATATAGCTCAGGTACCAATGTCCGTGCTTGCCTCCCTGCAGATGGGCTTGTTGGAAAAGCCACCTTTATTGAAGTGATTTCTATCAACAACTTAATAATTAGAGACCTGCTTTAAGCAGAAGAGGAACCTATTTACTGCAGCCGATAGATGTCTTTGTATCTTAGTCCCTTCATATCCGAACTTAATTTTTTTTGCAGAGGAAACCGCAGCAAACACCTACTACAATCGTGTTGAAGGCTCCCGAGACAGAGGCTGTGCATCGCGGTAGAGACAAGGCTCCTGAGTTGTGGCTGACTCACTGCCAGGACTTCTTGCCTTAGAGACATTTATTTCTCTGCTGACTGCATCTTTAGAAGTCTTGCCAAGGTGAAATGAACTTGACTCACTCTAGGTCTGTTGTTTTAATGTAATTTTCCCCCTGCTGTTTGGGAGTGTGGATGGTCTGGGCTCTGCTAAGTATGTGGTGTGAAGACCATGTCATTGCTCTTATTTGTGGCTTTTCATGAAAACCAAGATGCATCTCAGAGAGCCACCCCTGCATGCGGTCCTCTGAAGCAAAAGGGTCAAAGAATCTGGCAAGGAAAGTAGTCCACAGGGAAATGTTCATATCCTCTGAGAGGGCTGGGTCAGCGAGGCCATTCAGCCAGTCCCTCGCACCTATCCAGCACTTTCTGTATACCGGAGTTCTGCTAACTGTTAGCCTGGGGGTGTTAGATGGGGGTAGCCTGGGGGTGTTAGATGGGGGTACCAGAGTTCTGCTAAGTGTTAGGTGATGGATACGAGACAGGTACAAAGAGAAAGCCAGGCAGACACTGATTCCTGAGCCAGGAAACTCTGAAGAAGACCACAGCTGTTCTGGTAACTAAAGATCAATTTTTTGTTTTTAGAATTCTTTGAAATGCACCAGTGAAGCCATCCTTGCCAGAAGCATTCCAAGCTAAGGGAAAAGTGTATTTTCTCCCTTCCTCAGCCTCAACTTCGAATTGGTGAGTGCTGTATACATGCACAATCTCAGTGCAATATATAGGCCCCCACTGCAGGGCAGGGGCTATGTGCCTGTGTCTGCCCTCAGGGCACTTCTTTGGGATTCTCACAGAGGGCCCCACAGGCTTGTGATTGTGCATTTGGTCTGCTGAAGGTCCCTACCAGACCAGCTACCTGAGAAACCCTGGACAAGTAGATAAAGGAGCAAATGACATGCCCATGTTACCTGAGGCAGACAACTCTGAGTGTAGACCTTGGACATTCCTGGGCTTTCTCAAAAGCCATGTCGAGAATAAACTCACACGTGTGTGCATGCTCACAGTACATGCACACACATAGCACACACACAGACACATGCATGCACACACACAGTACACACATACATAAGCACATGCATGCACAGACATGTACACACGCACACGTGCATGCACACATGTGCAAGCACACACACCCACGTTCCCCTCTCTGACCTCTGGCTCTATTTTTTATTTGGAAAAGCAGCAGTGTTTTTATTTGGGGGAAAACCATGAGAAAGGCCAAAATGTTTAATGTCTTATGATAAAATTGAACGATCACTTACTGAGTGCTTCCTCTTGGGGCTTGAGATGCGTTGCTAAATACACGGACCTTTCTCTCCAGCTCCCAAGGCTTGCAGTGCCTGACACCCTTCCCCACCCATGGAACCAGGGAGCCGCCAGCCCAGCAATCCAGGCTTCTCCTTCGACAAGAGCTGCGCTTCCTAGCAGATGGGGCTTCCAGAGAGAACTGGGCTGAGTGCTGCAGCAGGCAGTGACTGAGGGGTGACACCCAGCTCATCTCCCAGAGCTGGGCACACTGGACTCATGAGCAGAAGCCTTAGCTTTTAAAAGTTGAAGGAATTTCCTCCTCTCTGAGTGAGTCTGGGCATTGCAGGCATTTGGGGAAAGAACAAGAAAACAGTGTTATTTAAACTACCATCCTTTTCTGGAGAAAAATTAACTCCTGCATGAAGCACTGTAGACAAAAAGAGCAACAGGGTTTTCCTGTGCGGTAGAAGGGAGCCTGATTCTGCTGCAGCACAATTAACGTTTGCACGGATCACAAACATGTTTCCTTCAGGGCGGCCTCTTGGCTGCGGCTGCTGGGGCCTCATGCCTGCCTTTGTTAGGAGACACAAAGGAAGCCAAGAGCACAGAACCCACCTGTCACCCCTCTGCCTCTGTGTGCCCACTCTCTGCCCCTCCAGATGCACACAGAGCCCTTTCAGTGTTCAGAGGCACTGAGGAAGCCTGGAGCCATCAGCACCTGGCGTCTTCAGCACCAGAAATTTCACCAGTCGCCACCTAGATGGGCTGTCAACATGTCATCATTTGGCCATTTTTGGAAAAGCGAATGGACTGTTCTTAAGGGTTGCATTCAGTGACAAATAGCATACTGTGTGCATCGGTTTGCATGCACATGTAAAGTGTGCACACACACATGCGTGCCAGGGCCTCCAGCTGACACTTGCTACTGTCCCAAAACCCTCGTCAGCTGCACTTTCTCCCCAACAGAAGTGATCATTCTGATGGGAACAGCAAAATTAAACTTTGAAGGGATTTCCTTAGAAATCAGCTCGAAGGGTTTACTGAAACTTTTTAAAGATGAAAAATTTGTTTTCCCTTAAGGGTTTGCTCCAAAAAAAGCAGCTCTCACCATATGTTTTCCTGGAGGGAGGAAGGAGGGGACAGAATGTCCAAGTTGAATGCTGACTAAATATTGCAGTCCCAGATTCCACGGGCGGCTAGTCACCCTGGTCCAGGAAAGGCCTTCGCCAGCCCATCCAGTTGAAGGCTATTTGGGAAAGGTCTGGGCAGCCTAGGGTCCTCAGGTGTATTAGAGTAGTTCAGTCTTTGATCAGTGAGTGCAATTTTCCCCCTGGGACAGGTGAAGAGGGGATCAGTCTATAACAAGTTTTTAAGGTTTTCTGAGCCAGAGTTCTATACATTTTAACGGAAGGTGATGGTCACCTTCGAAGCCTGACCCGAATGTCGCAGTGGTCTGCACCACTGGAACCGACGCTAATTAGGGAGCCATAAACCATAGAATCAGGACTCAAAGTAACTGTCAGAGTCTCTTGGTTCTGCCCTCATCCTCCAGGCAGTATTCCTGTTGAACTTATTTGGATCAGTCCCTGCCTGCCTTTCTCTTAAGGTTTTCTAGGGAATAAAGTTTTATGGGATTCCACTGGTGATTCCCCAGAGGGATTATCATCAATTAGTTCATTCAGTCAGCAAATATTTGAGTGCTAGCTATACTTATTGAATGCTGGCTGTGTGCCTGGCCTTTTTCTGAGCTCCAGGGATACAATAATTAATAAAAGATCCCAATCCCTGCCTTCATGGCACTTAGATTCTAACTGGGGGTGGGAGAGTTAGTTGAGAAAATGTAAGGATATAAAAAAAGAAACAACACACGTCAAACATACACAACAGAAGTTGGATGGGGAAGTGCTCTTATGAGTAATGTACTGTAATGGACATTTGCATGAGGCTTCATAATCTCCTTGGGCCAGGACATATATATTCTGTGATCTTCACAAGAATAAACAGCCTGGTGTGTTAAGGAAATTCCCCAGGGTCACATAATCGAAAATGGCTTTTCTGGAATTAGACTACAGGTCACTGGGGGTTGGGGTCCTTCCTTTCTAACTTAAGAAATGAGCAGCAACTCCAACACCTGTGTCTTTTCTTACTTGGTGGAGACTGAACCACACCACTCATTTTCTTTCCCCTGTAGGCTGGGATTCTTCTGGAGAGCTGGTGAGACGACCTGCTTTTCAGTTTGAATACCAGGGCCATTCCATAACAGCCTCTTTAGTTGCAAGGGCCAGCGAGGTCTAGACAGAAATAACCACACAAAGATGGCGTCTGAGCCATTGTCACCCAGGAAGCTGGTCCCCAGTGGAGAAGGCCCAGCTGGAGAGAATAAACACATGACTGCTCTTTCCATCATGTTCAAGTGGGAACATGGATACAGCCTGGGTTGTAGATGTGAGAGATGCAGCTCTGTCCCCGTGATATGGTGGGGACCCGGAGCTGAACACCCGAGGAGGTCTGGAGGCGAACAAGCGACTGACGGCTTCCTTTTGTGATCCGCTGCGATGGCTGCACTGGAAACCTTGGGCCACTTTGACTCCCTTACAGCCTCACCTGCTCTCCACTGTCATAGAACAGGGTGAAAGAGCCCCACATGTAGCCTTGTCATCACAGCAATGAATTTCAATAGCTTTCTTAGATCTCAAGTTGGAGAGAACCACGGGCTTTCCATTTGTGGGGAGTTACAAGGAAACATGAGTTCTTGGGGCTGATAGTAGTGTCCCACATGGTACAGGGTGGTACAGGGATGGAAGAGGAGGGGTTCAGGAGTCAGGCAGAACCCAGGGTGAATTCTAGCCCACACACTCACTCATCTTGGAGATCAGGCCCTTTTCTTGTTTCTCAGTTCCTATATTCACAGCACAGAGATGCGAGATTGTTTCAGAGGATGCATGTGATAACATGACCCCCATGAGACATGACAGCAACTCAGAAGGTATCAAAGATCAGCCACATCATGTGTGAGTTCAAGTTTGCAAATTCTACTGTCCATGCTTGGCAGGGAAAGAGTAGGGGAAGAGACAAAGCTGGTGGCTCCAGCTTGTTTCAGTATCTTGTTCAAACAAGGCAGCTTGAAGATCTCTAGAGCTTATTCATTCTTTGCTCAGTGAACATTTGGGGGATAAGCATCTGCTGCTCCCTGGTGGGTCTCAGTTCCCTCTTGCCTCATGGTGCAAACATCTCAGCAGGCTGAGTGTTGGAGGGTTTAAAGCCACGTCTGCTGCATGCTTCATGCGTCCTCACTGCAAACCCACTATCACAGGGACTCTACTAAGGAAACAGCGGTCAGTTCAGTGGTTGTTTTGATGCTCTGCAGTTTTTGGTGTTTGTTCTTAAACCACAGAAAGGTGAAACAAAAAGAGATACAATGTGCCCCCTTTTATTAGTAAAGACCTTTGGAAACATGATACTACCCGAGGTCTGCCGAGGCACTCATGGCTGATGGTGTAAATGTTTTTTTTCTGGAAGACGCAACAATAGGCCTAAGAAAGCATAAAAATGTTCAGACCTTTTGATGCCAAAATTCCACTTCTAGAAAATTTTTTGAAGAGGAAAATTAAATAGAACCTCACAGCTTTCTAACGAAGAAAGTTCTTTGCAAAGTAATCCATAAGACCAACATATTGCAAGTGCCTTCAGTGCTCAGCCACATAGAACTGGTCAACCGACTCACTTGTTCAGCTGACACCACCGAGCCCCTATCAGGACACCTGCTGTCGCCCTGGTCCCCGGCCTGCTTCAGGAAGCTTCTCCTCAGACGTGTGCTCTGAATGTGCAGTCTGTTATTTCACCAAAGCCACATATTGTGCTACTTTTGTAAGTTTCGCATCACACAGCAGAATATAATTCAGGAGAAAAGCTCTTAAATAATGTTCCCTGGAGGGAACTTTGTACCCAATTACTTGAATAGATAACAAAGTCCTTTATCCATCTAGTGAACACAGTTTTCACTAGCACAACGCCTTGACAAGCTTTTTGTTCAAAAATTTAATTTCCCTAGATCCCAAACCATAAGGAATTATCTTCTAAAAGAATTTATGTCAAGTCTGTTGTTTTGACATTTGGCTAGAGAAAATATATGCTTTTGGGTCCTCTTCTACCTGTAGCATTTTCTTTTCTCTGTTAATTTTTATTCTTTATTATATCCAGATTAATGATTCTTTATGAGGCCGTGTAGGTTGATGGACATGATCTTAGATTTGTTTTCCTCTGTAAGAAATTTTGGGGTGACAAATATGAAATCCTGCCTTAAATTCATCCTCATAAATTCCTAAATAGGAACTTTCCTTGAAAGTCTCATGGCCTATGTGAAATTAAATAATCAAAAATTAAGTATTGTTCTTTAAGTTTGCTGTTTAATGTTTAATGTTAGTAATGTTCTCATGTCAAATAATTCTCTAAATATTAGAATCATAGTAAAATCTAATGGTTTTTTCCTTATATTGTTGAATTTTTATAAGTGATTATTGGTTCTAAAAAGGAACAGTGTTCTTCCTTAAAATTAGTTAGCTAAAAAGCTCTCTTAATATTTACCACTTACAGTATTATCCATTTATTTCCCTGTTTAATCATTGGAAATTTGTAAATAATTGCTTTCGCTTATGAAATTTATATTTTTCACAATCTATAGTTTATTCCATCATTTTACTCTTGATTGGTCATTATTTATTTATATATTGACTGACAGAATTTCAACATATAAAACACAAAAAGAGACTTTACTCCATGTTACATTCAGAATGTGAACCTAGATCTTAAAGTGAATAAGAAGACACTAGAAATCAACTCCAAGGGCGCCATGCTTGGTTCATGTTACCCTGTATACATGGCGAGAATCTGAGTGCTCTCCCAGTCACTGGCCACACCCAGGGTCTGGGGTGCCAGAAACAATGCCCATGTCATGGTTTAGCTCCTTGGCCTTCCCAAGGCCAGGGCCCAAACTGAACAGTAGATTTTGGCAAAAATGCAAGGTGGAGCCCAAATGTAGGAGCTTTCTGCATTTTAGTGGAATCTATTGCATATGTGTATATTTATATGTGCATACATATATATCCAGTAAAATAATATTTTAAAGGTCATGTAAGGACATGGAACTATTTAAAAATAGTATTTTAAAATAATATTTTAAAGGTTATGTAAGGACATGGAACTATGCCTACATTATGTTTATTAAATAACCGTAGGGCTGCAGAACTGTTAGAGAATCATCTCAAGTTGAAAATCAACTAGTGTCTCTTTATGTTGGTTCTTGCAGATGCATCAGGGACACACGGAAGCCACCTCCCTTCTTCCTCTTGAGGTGAGGTCCCCCTGCAGGGGATTTAACATTTAAAAGTGTTTTAAAACCTGGATCTCTGTTGAAAGGGGTTCAGTGTTTGAAGGAGAAGCTGGAAGGGACATCTGTGCCTCCAGGTGGAGAGGGGCAGGGTGTCTAGCTGAGAGGCTGGTTGGCAGGCAGCCTGAGGCTTTGTGAGAGGTTGGCACCTTGCTCTAAGGCATGATCCCAGGTGGGTGGCTGCCTGGGTGGCTGGGGTCGGGGTGGGGGTGTCACTGGGCTGTAGCTTTGGATTGACAGCAAGGGTCTTCGGGGAACAGCAGGTGGAGAGCAGGGAGGCGAGCTCTGAGGGCCTGTCCAGTTACTGCAGCAGCTTTAGCTGGCGGTGCCTTGTGACAGTGGTGACCACCTGCAGCGAGGAGCGGGCCTGCCCCGTCGCAGGAAGCACCATGGCCCAGGTCCTATTTAACTGAGCCGGTGTAAGGCACAGGATGGAGCCCTGAAGTCACCGACTGTGGCCTTTTCACAAGGCTCAGCCTGACTGAGATTTGATTTAGAAAGAAACGTGATGCAGTGCTCCAGTATCATGGAACTGTTAGCACCTGATGCTTGGACACGTGCCCGCAGGAACTCCACCACACAGATGTATGTCATTGTCATCACACTGGTTTCTCTGGGTAGGGGGTCAGAGGAGTTCCTAATTTAAAAAATTTTCCTCCTCTGATTTCTTTTCCAAAAGTTCTAGAAAAAACGTGTATTAATGTTACAATCAAGAAAAGTAATAATCCAGCAGATGACTTAAAAACAAAGTCTGTAGTGTCCAGGGATTCAGAATGGTGAGAATGGTGTCTCATGTCTATTCCATCTCTCTGTCCCAGCATAAAACAATGGCTGCTATTTTCCGGAGAGATTTTTAGGAGCCAGACACTGTGCTAAGCATTTCATGCTAATTAACTAATCTTCACAGTGGCAAGATGATGACCCCCTTTTAAAGATGAGGAAAAATTATAATGCATTGTTGAAAGAAATAAAATAAGTTCTGAAGAAATGGAGAGACAATCAGAGATCCTACAGTGTAAGGGCTGGCAGGCTCTTGGTTAAGGAGCCAGGTAGTAATTGATTATTTTAGGTGATATGGGCCATAAGGTCCCTGGTACAACTGTGCCTCTCTGCTGCTATGGTGTAAAAACTGCAGAACACAGCATGTAGATAAATGAGTGTGGTTGTGTGCCAAATGTGATTTAGGAAAACTGGCCATGAGCGGGACTTGGCCCCCAGGCCATAACTTGCTGAACTCTGCTGTGGAGGAAGACAAACAACATCATAAACACACAACTTCCTAAAGTAATACCTAATTTAATGCCATTCTAATCAGGAATTTGGGATGACGGGTTTTAACTTCTAGGAGGGGAGGCCTTTTTAAGTAAGCTGGGAAACCCAAATGTCTGAAGGAAAAAGTCTGACAAATATGACTAAATAAAAAATTAAGTGTTTTTGCATGGCCAGAGAGTGCAAAAAATATTGACAGAGAGATGATAGCACTAGAGAAAGTATTTGAAGCACAATGTGACAGAGTTTTAATCTCTCTAATATTGAGAACCTTTTATAAATTATTAAGCAAAAAAGAAAAAGTATGCAATTCACGGAAGGTGAAATAAAAATGACTATCAAAATCTGAAAATATGGCCGATATCACCAGCAGTTGAGGGAATGTTATATAGCAATAAGGAGATCCGGAGGTTTGCTAGTCAGGTTGGCATAAAATAAAAATAGTGATACAAGTCAGAGCCAGGAAAGGTGTGGGGGCTTGTCCCTCATGTCTTCTGAACTGGCAACCACTTCGGGGAAATAGTCTGGTGGTACCTACTAAAAGGAAGAATGGCAAATTTAAAGTGGTAAATTATTGCAAAATTGAGGAAAAGAAAACAACTTCATATCAAAACCTATGAGTTATGGTCAGACCAGTTCACTGAGGAAAATGTGTAGGCTTCGAATGATGTTATTATTTTTCAAAAGAATGTCATGCTCCTCTTCTGTTTTATTTGATTCACAATTAAGATCGCTTGTCTATTTGTGAGTCCAGAGTATTCTGCTTCCTGGCTGGGTCAAAGGGGGCTTTCCTCTCAGACCTGGGGACAATTCTTCTGATTTTTTTCTTTTATGTGTCTCTCATTCTGGGCTCATACTCTTCTGGGGTATGTTCTGTTCTTACACAGGTATGCTGGTGGGGTTGGCCCATGATGTTACCTGAAAAGTTAGGGGTCCAGTTCCTTCCTGGCATGTTATGGGACAAGTATTTACTGGGTATTTACCTGGTATTTACTAGGACATGCCCAAGAGTTAATGGCCAGTCACTTTAGTCTCACGAACAGCAATCATTTATGCAAATAACTTTAAACCTACTGTGACACATCAGGACATTTTATAATATCGGGGGAACTATAAAAGTCCAAGCTGAAAGTTAATACCCAAAGGGCCAGGGGTGAGGGTGGGATTGGGGAGGCGAAATGACTTCTTAAGGTCCCTAAAGCCCTTTGCTCCAATAATCATGCAACTTCAAGGCATGATGTATTATGATAAAGAAAGGGAGCTGGTATCATTCCAAATCCAGAAACTTCCCAATCAGGATAGTGACAACCTCTCTGTGAACCCAGACTAGAAGCCGCAAAAAAATACATGTGTTGAGTTTTGTATTATGTCTTCCCTTGTCTTTGAAACGAACACATCTGTTGGTCCCTTAGCTTACCCGTATACGTACAGCCAAAAGGCACCTACGGATCCTGCTAAATAATTTCCCATAGCCAACTAAATGTGCTCTAAGGCCAGAGCCTACCAGAATCCCAGTGTGAACTGTACAGACTGAGTGAGAAGTAAGAACAGAGTTTTCTCCATGTGGCTCTGTCTCTAGAAGTGTCACCAGGCAAGGGGAAAAGGTTATGGCTGCAAGGCTTGGAAGCTGATTTGGACACGCAAACCATGGTCCATCTGCTCAGTGAGCTTCAGCAGGAAGGGCTTCCCTACATGGCCTTGTCTCTCCCAGTTATCACATCGGTGCTGCGCTTCCTCCCTCAGAACTGGGGTAAGGAAACACCAGACCTTGTGGAGGATAGTTTAATTTCATTTCTTAAGACAATTTATTGCAGTACCCTCAACATGAAAAGTTAGAGGTCCAGTTCCTTCCTGGTGTGTGATGGGGACAAGGCTTTGCTTAGGTGGTCCGGACCCCCATCATTCCTGCTCCTTCCAGCCCCACCTCCAACACCGTCTGGGGCTCCAGCCCATGCTGGGCCAGCACACCCCTTCAAGCTTCTGGGTCAGCAGTATCCCGGGAGGATGCCAAGGTGTGGCTCACACACAAAATCACTTTCTTCGGCTTGAATTTTGGGAGGAAGCTATTCATCATTGAAGCATCAAAATAGGAGCTTCATGTGGGTCACACATGTCCCAGAGCTCTGCTTGCTTCATCCTGGAGGCAGTCTGCAGCAGGCTCTGGTGGCAGGGGTCTCAGATTCCATCAGAAACCTAAAACCTGTAAACACACTGTCGGCAGTCGGTGGAGGGATGTGAGAAACTAGCAAATGAACAACAAATGCAGGGAGAGAAAGGGCAGACCAGATGGACTCATGTTTTTCACAACCGTGGTGAGGTTGCATCCCCGGGTCTCCAGCCACCAGAGGCTGGGGAGTACTTGGCGGCAGAGCACGGAAACATAAACGCAAGGCATTTTGTTTCCTTGTATGTGCTTTTTTCCCTTTAAATATTTACTTTCTGTGTTTTGCCAGGACACAGTTTCCATCCCACATGCATAACAGGCTGTTTTTGCAAATGGGGGTAGGGGAAGGCAGGGGACAGCTCGTCTCAGGAGACTGGCAAAAGGATTTTGATTCTGCCAGGTCCAGCCTGCTGGCTTTCCTCCCCAGGGTAACGGTGAGCAAAAACCTGGCCCGATCTTTATGTCTGGGTGTGGTGGCTCCTGGGAAAAGGGCTGCCCCTTTGTAGGAGCCCAGACCCACACCCATGGGGTTTGGTGTGACCCAGAGAGGGGAGGCCAGCTGGCTGGTGGAAAGCACATGCCTTTGCTGCCTGGTGGCCTGTGGTCTCTGCCTGTCACATCTGAGGCCGGGGTGGGCAGGGGAAGGGATGGGTGAGCCAGGGCCTGCAACCCAGTCTCTGGCATGGAGGCTGCTGATGGAGCATCTTTACACACACTTTCCGCCCCACAAGAGAGGCAGGCTGGCGTAGAAGAGTGATGAAGGGTGTGTGTGGGTGAAGGGGGAGCAGCTGGAAGAGAGGATGGGGGTGGCGAATTCCCAAGTGAAATAGAAATATACTACACAAAAATAAATAAATTAGCCCTGGGCTTTGAGCCATGTTTGAACCAAAATAATGTAAGCAATCAAATGCTTACTGTCTCTATTCACTCAGGCTTCCAAACACATTACTTCACAGAAAATGGAAGGGGTTGTAATAAAGGCGGGTGGGCAGAAGTTGCACAATTATGGCCACGTGGTTAGGAGGTGGGCTCTAAGGAGGTAAGTACACATGTCCTGAGCTAAAAATACGCAGTCCTGGCATTTTTTCATTGGTTATGAGGGACGAGGGCTGCAAGAAACAGCCTGGTATTCACCAGAGGTCTCTTGAGGGATTCTATTTGTTCTGCAGGCAAGCAGATGAGTAGATGGGGAGGTGCCCTGCTAAACACTCAGCCCAGGGTAGCTGGGGAGAGCAGGCGCTCCTCCACCGACGTGCAGAGCGAGCCCCGGGAAATAGGCCTCCTGCTGCGAAGAGGGAGACCAGTTTACATCTGCAAAGTGCTTTTAAGTTCATAATCCTCTGCTGATACCACCCAGAGACACTGATTTGTTGTCCCTGTTGTCCAGTGCAGGGCTTCTCAAGCTGCGATGTGCACAAGTCTCGGGACAGACGCAAGCCCCACGTGCAGAGGTCTGGTCCACTAAGGCTCAGTAGGACCCGAGACTTTGCATCTCTAACAGCTCGTGGCGAGGCTGCTGCCACCATGGACCACATGCTGAGAGATGCACTGTTCTGGGTGAGCTTCAGGACAAGAGCCTGTATTCAGCCTGGATTCTAAGTTCAGTTTCCCACGGATGCCATGGTGCTTCCTCCTCCTGCACTCTCCCTGCCAGTCACGGTGCCACATCAGCTGAGCCTGGACCGGTCTTCAGAATCCTTCCTGACACAATCCTTTTGGCCGCCACCAGCCACCAATGAGAGCTGACACGCAGATAAACCCACTATCATCTTTAAGTTGGTGGAGCAGGCACTGTTCTAAAACTCAGAGAACATGGACTGACTCGTGATAGGGCCAGGAACTATGTATGGGGACTCCAGACGAGGTGCTAACCTCACCGTTCTTCAGGGGCCTTGCCTGTCCAATGAGAGGGCTGGATTGGGTTGATGGGCTGATTCTAAGAAGCACACTGTGTTTGTTTGTAAGAAGGCTTGCAGATGGCAGCCTTCTTGCTATGTCAGCTCTGGAGGCTGGAAGTCTGAGGTCAAGGTGTAGGGCAGGTATGGTTCCTCCGGAGGCCTCGCTCTGCTGGCAGATGGCTGCCTTCTCGCTCTGTCCTCACGTGCCACTTATCTGTGTATGAGCATGTCTGGTATCTCTTTTCATAAAGGGCACTAATCCCATCACGAGAGCCCCAAACTCACGACCTCATCTAGATCTAATTGTCTCCCAAAAGCTGCATCTCCAAACACCATCACATTGGGGTGTAGGGCTTCAGCACATGAATCTGGGGGGATACAATTCAGTTCACAGCACAAATGGATAGTTTGTTTTAAAACACAGCTCTCTGGGTTCTTCCTCTAGAAGGTCTTATTCAGTCTGTCTGGAGTGGGATCCAGGAACTGTATTCTTTGCAGGCACCCCACATGACTCTCAGCCTCCCAGCTTGAGAAGCTCTGGGTGAGTTCCCCAGTTTCTGGGCAGTGAGCTGTGGGGTCCTTGTGAGTCCCAACAGTTACTTGTTCCTCTCTGAAAAAGTGCCTCGTCCACTTCGCATAACCACTGACACTCCACAGAGAACCCAGCTTACCAGTATGTGGATCTCTAGCCCAGCACCCCTCCTGGAGCAGGGTACACAGTAGGCACACAATTGATGTTTATTGAGGGTCTTGCTCAGGACCCCTTCTAACTTCAAAGGTCTTTGAAATGTGCAAATTGTCTTTGAAGAGCCCCGAAGGGGTTATCTGACAGTGTGTAGGGAAAAGGCAGCAGGCTGACTTTGTGTTTCCCCTCCAGGAGGCTTAAACTAAAGGGACCACATTTTCATTTCCCTCTCCAAGCAGCACAAAGTGAGATAACCTGATCTGGACAATGAATAAACACAGGCCCAGGGAACAGATTGCCCCTCCAAGACCTCTGGTTGGCTGCTTCTTTCTCTCGTTCCCTGCTGACTACAAGGCCAACAGTGAAAGCAGAGGAAGGGCAGTAAGTGGGGCTTCCTTAGGACAGCGCAGTCCATGGGAACGTGGGGACACTTGTCTCCATTCTTCAGTCCATGAGGTGTAATGAGGAAGGGAAGGGGATGTGGAAAGAGTTTCTCTGTTAAAAGTGGGACTGAGAGGAAGGAGATGTAATGCAAAGTAGTTGAACTGATATACAGCAAATTATAAACCATTCCTGAAAAACCACAATGAGATATTACTACACACCTAGTAGACCAGGTGTGTTCTACTAGTGACAAAATAAAGAACAATGACAATGCCCAATGCTGGTGGTGATGCAGAGAAACTGGCTTTCTCTCAGACATTCTTGGGGGGTGTCAAATAGTATAGCCATGCTGGAAAATTGTTGAGCAGTTTCTTATAAAACTAAACATACCGTGTGGTCTAGTCATCATACCCCTGGGCATTTATTCCAGAGAAATTAAAATTTATGTCGACACAAAAACATGTACCGTAATGTTCATATTAGCTTTATTTGTAATTACCAAAAATTGTAAACAACCCAAATATCCTTCAATGGATCAACAGTTAAATGTTCTGGAACATTCATACCATGGAATTCCACCCAGCAATAAAAAAAGCACTTTTGCTACCTGCAACAACTGAGATGGATTGCAAGGGTGTAGTGCTGAGTGGGAAAAAGTTTAATACTGTATGATCACAACATTTTTGAAATGACAAAATCATAGAGATGGAGATGAGATTAGGGGTTGCCAGAGGTTAGGGAGTAGAAGAAGAGGGAGGGGTGTGGACTGGCTATAAAGAGGTGGTATAAAGAATACTTATGGTAGCAGAATTGTTACTAAAAGAGCATAGACACACACACACAAGTGCATGTAAAACTGGTGACATACATGGGACTTTGGTATTACTTTTGCAATCTCCTGTGAACCTATGCTTGTTGAAAAAAAATTTCTGAAAAGGAAAATAAATAATTAAAAATGTGTTTTCTCACAGTGGAAGTTCATTATAATTATTGGGGAAAGTGATTTCTTTCTCTTTTGGAGTGGAGCACACCACTTTGGTTTCTTCAACACAAATGTATTATTTGTCACTGTAAAAGGCAAACATTGTATAGAATAGAGAACCCCGAGAATAAAGTTTTCCATATGTGGTCAAATGATTTTCAGCAAGGATGCCAAGACCATCTAATGCGGAAAGGATAGTCTTTTGAAAAAACAGTGCTGGGAAAACTGGACATCCGCATATAAAAGAATGAAGTTGGATCCTTACCTTACACCATATGCAAAAATTAGCCAAAAATGGATCAAAGACCTAAATATAAGAGCTAAAACTATAAAGCTCTTAGAAGAAAACTTGGGGGAAAACTTCATGACATTGTATCAGCAATAGTTTTTTGGATATGATGCCAAAGTCAGAGAATAGAAAAGAAAAACAGATAAATTGGATTTGTTGAAATTAAAAAGCTTTGTGCATCAAAGGACACCATCCGCAGAGTGAAAAGGCAGCCCACAGAAAGGGATTAAGTATTTGCAACTCATATATTTGATCAGGGATTAATATCTAGAACCTGTAAAGAACTCCTACAAGTCAACAACAAAAAACACACAACCCAGTTTTTAAAAATGGGCAAAGGGCTTGAATAGACATTTCTCTAAAGGAGATATACAACTGGCCAAAAAGCACATGGAAAGATGCCAGCATCACTTATCATTAGGGAAATGCAAATGGAAACCTCAATGAGATATCACTTCACACTTATTAGCGTGGTTACTAAGAAAAAAACCCCCCAAACCAAGTGCTGATAAGGATGTGGAGAAATTGGAAGCTTGTGTGCTACCACAGAGAATGTAGAGTCATGTAGTCACTGGGGAAAATGGGATGGTGATTCCTCAAAAAATTAAATGTAGAATTACCACATGATCCAGCAGTTCTACTTCTGGGTATATATCCAAAAGAAGTGAGAGCAAGGACTCAAACAGATATTTGTACAGCCATGTTCATAGTGACATTATCATGACAGCCGAAAGATGGAAATGACCCAAGTGTCTGTGGATGAATAAATGGACAAACAAATGCAGTGTATGCAAATAATGAAATATTGTTTAGCCTTAAAAAGGAATGAAATTCTGATAACGTGGTGAACCTTGAAGACATTATGCTAATAAGCTGGACACAAAGGACAAATATTGTATGATTCCACTTATATAGGTACTTAGGGTAGTCAAACTCATAAAGTGGAACTGTGGTGATGGGGGGAGGGTGGTGGGAATGAGAATTTTTGTTTAATGGGGACAAAGTTTCAGATCGGGGTTGGTGACAAACTCTGAAGCTGGATGATGGGAACAGTACACAACAATGAGAATGCACTTAATGTCCTTGAACTGTACTCTTAAAAATGGCTAAAACTGTAACTTTTATGTTATGCCTATGTTAGCACAATTTTTTAAAAAGGCATTGCTAGAGATAAATAGGCTCATACACACACAAAAGGCAGACTTTGTCAAATTCTTCCCCTCCTTCACTGTATTTCTTTCAATCCCTAAGAAGAGTCTGTTTTAACACAGGTAAAATAATAACCAGATTTGTGGAAAACTGAGATGGTGCCATAATTAGAGAAGTCAGACTTTCAGCTTGGCATCTGCAGTCCTGGGCATTTCGGCCTGAAGTCTTTATTCCTGTCATATTTACTCTGCTTCTTCAAAGAACTCAGTCTGACAAGGCCATTGTGGTGTTCTGAATGCTACGTACTCTTTCCTGATGCAAGCCACTTGTCCTTCCGAGAATGACCTCTGTCCTTTTTCTTCTTCACCTGTCCAAATACTACCCACTCAAATCCTCCTGCGCTGACAAGGTCCTCAGGCATTTCTCCTCCTCCTACTCACCTATTACACTTCTTGTCTAGACCCAGTTTTTGACACCTGCATTTGGTAGTAAGATTTACAAGCGCAAATTTCATATTCCTCCAACTAGTGTGTAAGAACCTCAAGGCACAACCCAAATTCTTACTTGTTTTACCACCAAATAATTTGGTGCTGTGATTTTCACAGAGTGGGTACTTAGTAACAATTCAGGAGCTGATTTAAATTAGGTTTCTATCTATTTCCCTATCCCATTCTGAAACGTTTGGAAACAATTTTTTTTAAATGAAGAAACATAATGAACATAGACTTAGTCTGTGAAAGGTGGAGACATCTAAACATTCAGGTGTAGAAAGGCTTCCTGAATTCTGAGCATAGTGCTATTAAACACTGGGATAGGGATGTAGGTCTTTATGAAATCACAGATTCCTAAAACTATGGGGAACCTAAGCCACCATCTACCACTAATGTCTGTATCTCACAGAACAGGAAGCAAATGCCTAGAAGGTTAGAGATGTCACTCTAAGAACATAAAGAACATATAGATGGTGCAGAGTTGAGACTACAACCAGTGTCTTCTAAGTTTCTACTTTTCCTTTTCACTTACTGCAGCTGCCTGGTGGAATTCTTTCATTTATGTGTGAGATATGGTGGGTAGAAGTGGTAAATGTCAAGTATAAATTTCCACCTGTGGATGAAGCATATTAACTAAGGGTAACAATAACCTTGTATGTCCAGATCGGCAGGTCTGGGGTGTGATTGTTTTGTGTTTATGTGCACTGCTTGCGAAGCAGAAATCCACGAGGAGCCCCACAGAGAGCATGCGGTGCTGTGCACTCAGCTGACCCTAGCAAGGGGTTGGCCGCCAGCGCTTGCATTTCACAGGGACTTGCCCGCAGGCAGAGAGAGGAGAGGGAGGGCTTCGGACTGAACGTTTGGAAGGCTCCAGGTGGGCTGGGCTGGAGGCTGTGGCCCCAGGAAGCCGGAGGCGGGACAGCCAGCAGCGGGTCTCTGGATGCCCGCTGGGGATGCCCTGTTGGCATGCTCTCATTGCTCTAAAGCTGGAAACAGGGACAAACATTTAGGGAAGCTGCTGTTGTTTGGCTTCTGGACGGGGGGCTGAAGGTGGTCTGACTCCCACAAGCCTTACAGAGGCAGGCGGCCTCCTGGATGGGTTACCGCAGGGGGTGGGTTGGTTTTTTGACTGTGGGTCAGAGTGCCACTGGTACACGTGGGCTGCCTGTGTATTCAGTCTCTCAGTGGGTACAGTGAGGGAAGTCGATAATCCTGGCCCTCTGAACAAGCACCAGCCTCCTTCCCTGCACATAAGTGAAGAGGCACCTTCAGGAGGCAGGCTTCACTCTTAAGGGAGAGCAGTGCTGCCTGTGAGCCTTTCTGAAACACCGCTTTTCTTTCCTGAATACCCTGCTGGCACAGGTGCACTACTCTGGACAGGGTCTGGCCCTCTTGCACTCCCGACACCCATCTGATCTATAGTGTCCCTCAGGTGGAGTCCTTGCCTCCCCAGGCGCCCCCATGCTGGGCCTCACCTCTGCTCTCCCTCCCCTGCGGCGCCCTTCCTGCAGCGCCTTCTCTCTCTCCTGCAAATCCTGCCCAGGTTCATGTTTCAATCCAGAATCTGCCTCCTGCCTGAACCTTTCCTCACGACTGCAGTGTGTGGGCATGTTCCCCCTTTATGAACCCCAAGAGGCTAGACCTGGACCCCACACTCAGGCTGCTGATTGGCTGAGGGTCAGTGACTCACCTGGGGAAGCTGATGCAGAATCCTGGGTGCCCCTCAGAGATTCCAGTTTGGTAGATCAAGGCAGGTTGGACAAGTCCTACCTGGGCTGGTGGGGAACAGGGGGAAGAGTGCTTTGATTAAAAAGTAAACACATGCAAGGGCCCAGAGGCAGTGGAACACACCCATGGGTGCATGTGTGTACATATCACATGTTGGGGAAAAATTGTGAAAGGCTTTGAAATGTACTCAAAAGATAACTGGTGTCTTCAGTGGAAAACTCGGCATTGTCTGGCACACTCTTCCAGCTTATTTGATTCTATGTGGTCTCTTCTCCTTTCATAGTCTTTGGGCTTTTCAGAGCTCTACAAATTCCAGTAACTAATAGCAATGCCCCATGATTTCCCTCCCGTGCTGGGGAAGAAGTTGCTTTTGCATCCAGTGAGCAAATTCATTTCAGCATCCTTGGTGGCCTCTGTATGTGTCTGTTCTCTGGGTTCTCCTTTCGATCAGTTCTAAACATCTTCTGTTCCTCTCATAAATCAATAAGTTAAATGGAATCATTGGCTGTGTTCATTTTCTATTTCTATGAGAGTCATGGTTTTACATTTTAATAATTCTCTCTTACACAATCACACACATACACAGGTCCTGCCTGGCTCAGCCATCTTACTCTGCATAAATGGCTTAGCTTGGCATGATGAAGGGTAGGTCAGGATACTCAATATGGGAATATTCAATAAAGACCAACCTGTGCAACTGGAACTTTATTAGATAATTCGTTTTTAAAATGACCACTCAAAATGCTGGCATCACCCTGTCATAAGTATTCATCCCTCCCAGATGCCGTGGAGTAGGAATGAGTAGATGGCACTGCTCTGGGGTTTCCAAACATCTCTGGGGCCTTCCCTCCAGAATCTCAAGGCTGCACACGGTGGGCTTGGGTAAGTGTCTGATCTGACCTGCCAGGCCAGTGCTCGAGTGTGGTCACAAAATACCTGGGCTCTTTCAGGTAGGAAGCCAGGGAGATTCTGCCTCAGGAGCCCCACTGGGCTGCTCCCACCTGGTTCTCATAAGGCTGGGCAGCGGGAGCTGCTTAGCTCTCCCGAAGCCAGGAGCACTCAAGCACCCAGGTCTCCCGGCTCCAGGCTCCTTCATTCCCTTCTGGCCTGTGTTTTAAAGCCACAAGGCAAAGCTCCAGGTGCTCCCTGTACCGCTGGCCCTTCAGCTTTCCACAGACAAAGGCTGTCTCCCTGACCAGAGTCTAGTTAGACTCCTTGTCGGCTAGGCCTCATCGGGGGGCCCTCTTCGGCCCTCCTCAGTGTGCAGTAGCAGGAATCCTGTTAAGTTAGGTAGTGAGATCCCACCACCCTTGATGTCGATCAAGCCCCTCATTCCCTGCCCCCTGTGTTGCATTGCCCTGGCCTGCCTTCAGCAAGCATCTGGGCTGGCTTAGCAAGAATGCCCCACCCTTGATGTTTCTTCTCTGTACTGTCTGTCCTTGACCCCTTGCTCTGCTCCTGGGCTGTAAACCCCCAGCTGTCTCAGCTGTACTCAGTGGAGCCCATCTCGTCCCCACTGCATGGACACGACACCTGTCACCACAGTCCTGAATCAAGTCTTCCTTACTGGTTTAACAAGTGTCAGAATAACTCTTTTCTTCAACACCACTGGGGTCTGAGCTCAAAGGGATGACTTACCTCAGGCATCCTGATCCCTAAGCAAAGCTGAAGAGCTGACTTGGGCTGCCTTCTGAGACCCACCCAAACCAACCACCTCTCATCTTTCAGGGTGTCCTGTCATGTGTTGGCAAGGGGGCCCCCCTAGTCCACACTTCCAGAAGAGAATCACCTATTTCCCTTCTGCCCTGGAAAGCCTCCCACTGTGCAGACCCTTGTTTCAATTGCTGGGATGTCCTGGAGTCAAAGGCCACGTGAGGTCCTTGGACCACCAGGCATGGTGAGCGCTGGACAGGCAGAACCATGCGCACCATCTATCCACATGCATCCCCTTGTGTGGAAGGGGCCTGGTGATTTTGTAACCCACCTCACGGCACTCCATGGGGAGATGCCTGATTCTTGAGAAGGATAGGGGTCTACATGCTTGGAACATCTTGGAAAAAATGTGCTCAGCCTCATGGAACCCAAACAGAAGTGAAGCCCCCAAACGTGTGAGGACTGAAGGGGGCATGTGGAAATGTGCCTACACGGCTGAAGCAACAAACCGCTTTTCTGAAGGGCAGAGAACGGTTTCCTTTGCTGGAAAGAATTTACGACCTCAATTGCCCTGCGTTCTTTCTTCTTTCTTCCAGCTTCCCCCTCCTCATGCAACAAAGGCGATCCATTTGCCAGGAGGATGAAGTCCGGCTCTGGGAAAGGATTGCGTTTGAAGGAACACATAAAAGTAAGTAGTAAAAAACAAAACAACACACAGCTCAGCCCCTACCCCCCAGTCTTCTCTGATGGGCAGGATTTTTCTCTGGCGAAGCCCAGCCGGCCTGATGTCCAAGCTACCACGTGCAGGGTGGTTAGGGGCTTGTCAGTGGGGTCAGCCTAATTAGCCAGCCTAATGTTTGGTTTCCTGGGGAGAGCTTTTGTGAAGTAATTGCCTGCCTTGGGGTCA